TACATCTGCCAGACGTAGTTTTTTTTAATTTCCTGTAAGTCTTGTGTGAACGAAGAATTTTGAAGTTTTGCATTTGACTTCGCAAATGCAATATTTTTAAGTTTCTGTACGGAAGAGGAATTTTAAAAGTTGCACACTTTACTTTTTAGATGCTTTTTTTTTTTTCTGTAAGGGACTGCGTAGAAAAACGTTTAAATTGCGCATTTGTCTTCATAGATGCCATTTCTTTTAAGCTTCCCGTAGCCATGTGTTGAAGAATAAGTTTTGGTATACATATTTGTAGTTTCTTTGATGTTGTAAGATTCTCACTAGTGTATTTCTCAGTTACTGTAGAAAGTGACGAATCTTAAGAACTAGTTAGCGAATAATCGCTTAAGTTCGTGTAACAAGAAACAACCAAATGGAAGGGTAACTAACCCTTTATTATTCCAATAAGATTTAACAAAACTCCGTCTTGGAGTGTACAATTTAAGCCGACACTTGGGCTTGAACTTAAAAGACTAAGAAATAAACTAAAACTAAGCTTAACTAAAGAGATATAGCCGCAGCTATCAAGATTCTAATTGAGTTGGCCTCTTAACTCTATTTGACTACGTAGCTTATCAAGGGCCTGAGTACGGCCGAGCGTAATAACAGCTTTGAGAGAGAGTAGCCAAAAGGCAGACGCGCGCAAATCAGAAACTCTGATTCTCTCTAACTCAGCAAGTAGACTTCGCGGTTTAAATACCGCTCCTCCTCATTAAGTATTCAGAGTGATTCCAAAACTACGTTCTGGCCGGAAGTAGTAAGTTGAAGTTAAGAATTTGACACGAAAGGAGCTTTAACTTAAAATTTAATTGTTAATAAAATTAACATAATCCTTACAATGTAGTTAGTTACTTTGAAACTTCTAGAACACGAACTAGTCTTTGAAGACACGCATATCACAATAAAGAGTTTTTCAATTATTATTCTTTTATTTAATTATTTTTGTGCTACATTTTTTAATCATTATAGAATAGTTCCAAATGCATATAATCACTAAGCTTAGTAGCTGATAGCCCTTCGCCGTAATCGAATTAACCAAAGTAAACCAAATCACTAAGTTTAATTTGCTGAACTTGAAGAATTAAGTTGTGTATTTGATCTGATAAGAGCGTCTTTCGAGTTTCTACTGCAGTTTAGAAGTTGCGATACTATAACTAGCTAGTATTGCTTATAGCATTGTTCCAGAAGAGGTTAACAAGGCTTAACAATCGTTATAATAAAGACTCTATATTTACTAAATGCAGTTGTGAAATGACTGAACTAAACTGCAGATATTTTGCAGCAAGTAGATAATTTGGTAAGTTTAAGTACGCCCCCCGAAAAAAATAAAGATTCGGCAAACTGGATTACTGGTGAAATGATCATTTTAGTCCAAATTGGTAGTAATTTTGGGGAGGAGAATGTTTTTTTTTTTAAAATACGTAATCAATCGGTTCATTTTAAAATTATTGGTTTTCTTGAATTTCATTTCTAAATGTTTTATTTCTTCTTTTAATTGTTCACATTAAAAGAAAACTGCAAAAAAATTACTTTTGAAAAATTTGCAGTTAAACCTTGAAAATTGCTTTTACAACTAAAAATAGTGTAAAATAATTTAGAAGAGTACAGCAAGCATAAGGTGCCATCTCAAGTTCTTTGGATGAAAACAGTCTCGGTGACACATTTTCACGGCTTATGTTTCTTTTGATGATGGATAACCACTACGGTGGCCCTAAACTACTAGTTTCGTTAATTATACGTCTGCAAATAATAATTATATTGCTACTACCTTCACAGCAGTAACAAAAAGCGCATGCGCATCTGGATTTGATTCTTTGACCTTCTTTCTTTATTATCAACGCCTCTCTTTTTGAAGCAAATTTTTAATAAATGGCAAAGCGAAGGTTTTTTTTTTTTTTTTTCAGGCAGGATGTAAGGAAAAAAGGATAGCACGAAATGACAAAAGAATACTTTTACTACAAATGTAGAATTTTTTTTAAATCTTTCGTTTCCTTTTTTCGTTCAAAGGGGCTTTGTCCCTGAGGATTATTGTTTTCGTTTTGCGATTTTGCGTCGAATCACTCTGAATGTCCTTTTCACTTTTCAAACTGTTGCCACCAAATATTATCGTCCTGCATTATATTTGCAGAAATTAAATAATGAAGAATCTGCATCAATTTACATATATATTTCTCGCATTGTGATAAAACAACGGTACCTAGATCCATCCAGGTTTGAATGACGTAAATCTACTGCGAATATGGGCATCTGGAAGCCCAAATTTGAAATATGGAATTTGTTTTTTTTATCGATTTCATATTTTGTAAAACTTTAACGAATTTTTGATTAACAAATTCTAGGATTTCAAAGCGAGCAATGGCAACGTTGTACAGAAAAACATTTTTATCTCTAGCGGGTGAGACTGTGTATCGGAAATTCTAAAGATATGCTCAATTTAAAATTATTTTGCGATATTGCTCCTGAACTGAATTTTACATCTTCAAATGAAATTCATTTCCTAAAAAAAAGTTAATAGATCATCTTCGAATCGTGCCCTCCCCTACCTAAAATTAGAAAATCACTATTTTTCTTCTTCAAGATGGAGAGTTATAAAATATGAAGGAAAATATTTTCATAATGAAGGAATTGAAACAGATAATAATTAATCCTAGTCTCATCTGTACCTTCTAGAATCATTTCCAAAGCTAGGGTTCTTTGTTTAAGAGACCAGATAATTATAACCAGATTTTATAATATAGATAATTATAACCAGATAATTATTACCAGAGTCGTTGTATGTATTTTCGTAGTTAAGAAGGAAAAACTGAACTTCAGCACATAGCGATCTTTTTGTAGAAAATAGAGGAAGAATATCTGCGGGATATAAAAGCTTTATGCAAAATCACTTATTTTTGCCGTTTTAGAAATACGATCTTACAGAACGTAGCTTAGGTGAGCCATCCCCAACACCTGAAGCGATCACCAATCAAACACAGATATCAACGCAGCCAAGAATTCCACTAATTTTTGTTTTGCTTTGCTTTAAAAATTTTCCTTTAATACCACAAAGAAAAAGAATCATAACAAGAAATCTTCCAGAATTTTTTGCAAATCTTCCAAATTTCTAAAATAAATATTTATAACATCTTCTTTTAGCAACAATTCAATTCTATAAATTTTGTACCTATAACTTGTAATGTAGTAGATTTTTCACACTTAACGAATCAAACAGAAATTAAGTGAGTTTATTTCTTGCAATTAATTAAAAAATTAGCTAATTTGATTATGAAAAATAGCTGTGAATTTTTATTTTATAAAAAAATTTTTCTGTAATTTACTGCAGAATTATTCACAGTTGCCTAAAAATTTTTTAGATTATCCCTAACATAGCAGTGTTAAGTTAATGAAATGAATTACATTAGTAAACAAATTTAAAATTTTTGTCGGTTGCATGAATAAGAAAAGGTAATTTTGACTAAATTTATCCTCCTTAATACAAAAATGACAGTAAAATATTTGTAATACATAATGCTTTTGTATTACAGAACTTAAGTGACAAAAGAGCCAAAATAAACCTTGTTAATATCTAAGCTTAATTAAGTCAGTGACGTATTTATGTTACTATGATATCTGGTTAAGTAATCCTTTTCATTTAGCACAAAAGATAACACATAATGCAATAAACTAAAATTATTATTACTACTCCTGTCTATTTACTCCAATGATATGTTTAAAAGCTTCCTTTAATATACAAAATAGCAAATGCTTATGTTGACCTAAGTTATAAAAAAATATCGCACTCCCATGTGCACTACACATGAGACTGATATTAAACTAAAACATTCGGGTAATTTAGAAAATATTCTAAAACTAACGGCCCTGCACTAGTTCATCATTTAAATTCTTATGAAAAAAAAATTAAGAGACCCCCGAATTTGGGAACTGATGAATATTCCCTCTTTCATTTTCGTGCAACTGCTCTGGAAACTGATTTCTGAGACAGTGTTTTCCATTCTTGTCTATGGTCTTTATAAAATTTTCTGTTAAGCCTAATTTTGTATGGAGAAGTAGCTATAGTGCATTATTTGAAATTGGTGCTGTGCCAGTATGTTCAAAATTGTAAAAGTGGAATGTGCATTCGATGTGTATTATTTGTTCTAGTACAGGTGTTCTCAACCGCTGGTATGCGTGCCACTGGAGGTACGCAAGACAAAAATAGGTGGTACGCAAAGAAGCAAAGTATTTTTAAATACTAAATTCAAAAATTAAAACCCCAACATCCTGATTGAGTTTTTTCTCTAATACTCGTACATTTATGCGATTTGAGCTTTGTTCAAGACTGCTGGTGGTAGTAGTACTTTGTAGTGGTGGTATTAAAGGTTTTCAATTTTTGCTCAGATGGTAAGCGTTAGTTAAAAGGTTGAGAACCGATGTTCTAGTGCATTCGTATTGGAATATATGTTTCTTTCACTGTTCTGAAGAATACTGTGATTGTTTTAGATATGTATATATTGTGATTGTTGTAGATGTATATATATGTACATATTTATAGAATAAACAACAAGCGTTTATACAACAAACAATAAGCAATGTTCCCATCTACGACACTCTTGAAAAAAGAAAATGTTTTTCTGCCTTGAATGCGTATTTCCTCTGACCAATCCCATCAATATGTATGAAACTTTTCACATTTATTAGTGACAAAATAGAGTAGTTTTTAAATGCAATCCAAAATATATGAGTGTATTGCTTTCATAGCATTAAATATGGATTTAATGTAATGTGCATAAATATGGATTTAATTCTATCTATATTTGAATTTTTTTATTTTAAAAGCTTTTTTTATTTATTAATGCTTATTACCAGCATTGCTTTATAATGCCGAAAACAAATTCTATAGCACGCAGAAATCTTTTTTGCATGATGAGTTAACATTTACCTCGATTTTCAACGTATGTGTCAGCAAAAATATCATAAAAATCTGGTAAACCTTGTTTTAAAATTTACTTTTATTTTAGCTCAGGAATTATAACTATGAATGTTATCATCACCTATTTTTTATGTTTAAGTTCGTTTAATTCGCATAATTGCTGGAGGAAACCATCATTGGGGAAGATTTCCCTTTGCTTTCGAACCATCCTTGTCGCTTCTTGCACTTCAAGTCCAACTTCTTGAACAAGATATGCCAACACCAAAGCCGCGGATCTGCTGATCCCTTGCTTACAGTGCACCAGAACCTTTTTACCAGATGCCAGACCATCCCGTATGAACTCACATGCCAGAGAGAAATAATCACGTAGTGGAAAGGACATCATGTCAATGGCTGGAATTCCAAGAAACACTATTCCAGCTTTTCCGTACTCTTCGGGAGGCAGAGCTTCGATCATATTCAAAGCCCTGTCCGGGCCGTAAGCCGAGTTTAAGACATATCCGACACCCAGTTTGCGAAGTTTGTCCACATCCGACGCTGAAGCAACGTTGCCTAAAAGAATACCTGGGTAAACTTCATCGTAATCGGTAGTAGGCAGTTCTTGAATTCCTGCCGATGAAAAAAGGCAGATTTTCCTCAGTTCTTCGATGGTGCACAACATCGCATTTCCATGCGTTGCCTACAAAGAGATTTTGTAAGGAATAGTTCATAAATGGAAAAATAGTCAAGAATATTTGCAATAAAAAGGAAAAATGTTCTCTAGAATTTGCAAAAATTTTTCCACATCTGCTTCTTTCAAAATACAGTGAGATACCTGAGATACAAGAAACCTGAGAAGGTTACTAACATTTACGATTTTTTACGATTCCAACAATTTTCAACACGATTTCAACAACGATTTTAACAATTTTCAACTCTAAGCCATTTTTAGTTTCCGTGTTGGTGGTCGTCTCAGAAAAGTAGTATCAAATACTAATTAGGTTGAAAGAATTATTGACTACCCTTTAGAGGGGACCATTACTAGGGATTTCAAGGTAGCTATCTGTAACAGAAGGAAATCATAGAAAATATCGAATTAAAGGTATTTGGTGAATAAATGGCAATGATAGTAAATTTTATTTCATTGTATGTGAGTATGTTCATATACTTCTTCTTTATCATGTCTGATTGTTGGCCAAATAATTAAAGATCAATACAAATGAAAGACTTCAATATTTTATTGCTTAACTTTTATTGCCGCATTTAGGTAGTGTCAAATATTTATTGAAATTAGTAAAAAATTAACATTCAAGATCATTTAGTAGAAAACACGTTACTGATTCTGCATGGTAAACCAGAAAATTTTAATATCTCCTCCTTAAAATATTCTACTAGAATTTTGTTTTAAAATCCTAATAGAACATTTTAGTCCTGTCTTCGGAATGTTGTTCTTTTTTAACAAAAGCACAGGGGGAAAAAAAGAGACTGGTTGTAGTTTCATTGGACACTTGTGCTCGCAAGATGAATCACAATTCTAAAAGAAGGAAATGTTTTTGTTACAAAGTGTTCTCTTGCACACATTTTGTTCTACGGCTTCTTTCCTTCCTTCGTAAGGGAGAAAAAACTTCTTTCATCACAGAATTTAAGAAACATGGGTCCTCACCGGAAGTTATCGTCGGATGTTTATACAAGGTCAGGTCGTTCCCCGGCTTTTAAACAGATTTCATTTTTAGAAAGAGCAATGAGTTACTATCGTGTGTAAAACCGTGGGAGGGGGGGGGGGTAAATAAAAAAATAAATAAAACTGGCATACCTACTACACTGAAACACAAGAACTGAATTCTGTTTTTAAATTAAAAGGCAAAACAAATCATCAAGTAACTGAATTACGCTGTAGATTTCTGTCCTCCCCCCCCCAAAAAAACTGCTGAATATAAAATGCCAGTCTGGGAAGTATTAGAGCATTTCTTTTTAATGTATTTGGCTACATTACTTTTTGAGTTATTATTTGAGGTATTTTTAGGTATATTTGAAGTATTTTTTGAGGTATTATGGCACCGTAAAAGACATTGGACTGTACTTTTTCCCCCTTTCAGAAAATGTTTTTCATCAAGAAAAGAGAGGAGGGGAGACTTGCAGTTTGATAACTTCCTGGTTTAAAAAATAATAACTAACTCTTGCGAACTGATAAAACTAATTTTTTTGCTAAAGTAAATTAAATTCAAACTCGAATTTCAATTTCAAATTTTCCAGCATTTTTTCTACATTCTGTTTTTAAATGTAAAACGACATAAATAGGAAAACATCAAAATATTAAAAAGCTTCTATCATTTGTATAAATGAAACATTTGTATAAATAAAAATCCGATTTGGAAATTCCAATTTGTAGTCTAACATCATTAAAATTTCTAAAAGCTAAAAAAAAGTTTTTTAATTTAAAAATTTTAAATGCAGATTTCTAGTTAACCTTCAAATGATTTTAAGCAAAACAGTTAAAGTTATTTTATTAATGTAAGAATTAATTCCTCAGGACTTCGAGGTATAGAGTATAAAATTATGTACTTGAAGTGAGCATTCAGAACAGAAATGCTGAAAAGTAGAAAAAAAAATTTCCTGTGATTTTATTTTCATTGTAAAATAACGCCATGTGGAAACTTGTTTTCTTATTTAACGAAAAAACTGTTAATTATTCAAAAAATAGCTGAACATTTACTTCACTGGATCGCTTGTAACAAATATTTCCTTCAAGTCGCAATACTTTTCATTTCGACAGGCTACCAAATTATCTTAATTAAAATAATTAAAAAAAGATACACATAAAATATTGCAATCCGTATTAAAAATATTGTACTCAGTGTATTACTTAGTTTACCATTTTCGTTTCCCTTATAAGCAAAGAACTTTTGTAATATGAAAAATAAACGAAAATCAGCTACCCTTGACAAAATTGCATTTCGTGTTTGCTGCTTTTATTTGTAAAGGATAACTATTTATCTATTATGTGAAAACATTAGCAGCATTTCGAAATGTCAAATAAAAAGTAAAAAGGAATCCTATTTCTTATACCGTTATGATCGACAGTTTTATATAATAGTAGAGGACAGTTTAAAGTATTATCAAATGTTAAAATTGTAAGACTAGTATGGTAATGAAAAAACACAGGTACAAAACTAAATTTTGAAAAATCAAAACTTTTCTCCCCCCCAAATTAAATTATCTATAACTTTTCATCGTTAACTTTTCTTAATGCATAAGACATGAAAAAAAAATATACACGAATTCTAGGCGAAATGCGTACACTTTTTTTTTTTTTTTTTTTTTTTTTTTTTTAAGCCCAAAGGACGTTGGCTCAGAAGGGCTATTAATTTCGTTTTGGCATTTTGCGTCGAAAACTTTAAAAGGCTGTTCCAATTAATGCTATCAAATATTATCGCTCTGTATTATATTTAAAGAAATTAAATAATGAAGAATCTGTATAAACTTATCTATGTTTCTCGCATTGTGATAAAACAACGGTACCGAGAGCCATAAAATTTTGAATAGCGTTCTGCTCCACCCGAACAGGGGAATCTGGAAACCCAAATTTGGAATTTGTTTTATTATCTATTTCATAATTTGTAAAACTTTAACGAATTTTTGATTAACAAACTCAATTATTTCAAAGCGAGCAATGGCAACATTGGAGGGAGAAAAAAACACATTTTTGTCTACAGCGCGCGAGACTGTGTATCTAAAATTCTAAGGATAAGTTCTTTTTTAATTATTTTGTATTGCTGTTAAATTTAGTTTTGTGGTTTAAGTGCGAAGAACATAATATTTGTGGTAACATAGAAACTGTTAAAATCTGAAAACTGAAAATATTCAGATTTTATTATTTTTCTTTGTTTCTTTTTTTAAAAAATTCTTTAGTTTGCTCTTTAAAGTAACCATTAGAAAAGCAATAATGGTAGGAGTAAACACATAATCAGTCTCAGAACCTACCGCTAATGATGCTCGATGTATATAAAGTGTCGATTTCAGTTCAGTAGAAGTACAAAGAAAACATGCTTAGCAGCTTACGCAAAAGAACAACACCTATTCTAAACTTCTGTTTTCTATCTTTATTCTCAGAATGAAGTGAAAATGTATCTCTTGTTAAGAGGCCATTCCGCCCCAAATAGCCTACTTAACGATACAGCAGGAAAGGTTAATTTACAAGCCACATAACCACAATTACCTTGCTTGTTATGCAATAGGCAATTATACCGGTGTCTTTAAACGAGATTTCTTCTTCGTGTATTCAACTCACCCGGTACAAAATTCGTCCCAACTAGGAAATGGAATTAGAATACTTGAATCCCAAGAATCTCGAGGGAAAAAAATTGAATCTTTCGACTGTTAACCTTTTAAAAAAAAAAAAAAAAAAAAAAAAAAAAAAAACATTGAATGTCTTAACTCAATTTTAGAATTTTTATTGAGCCCATCCAAAGCAATTATCAAAAGGAGAACGCTGATTGTAACAAATTCAGTGATTATCTGATCATCTTCTCCTAAACCATACTAGACCTCTAGGAACTTTCTACGAGTTTCGACTTTTCTGGAGAGAATTTAGTGATTCGAATTTAGTCTTTACCTAACTTTCATTTATCTTCCATATTATATAAGTGTTGTACATCAGCATAAAAATAATATTTTGCCACAAGTTTCATATTATATCCTAAATGCCACAAATAAGTATTTTTCTAATACGTTATAGCGATCATAAAAAATCCTGCTCTATTTATTCATGCATTATCTTCTCTACTCGGAATTCATCATAAAATTTTGAAGTAAATATATTGTGATAAAAACTTTTGAAGTAACATCTGTGTGTTTCTCTTATATACTATATATATATATATAGTCTCTCCTGCCCTCGAGCGACCTTTAAAGTGGTATGCTTTTCGCCAAGGGAATACGAGACCTTAGGTCGTTTAGTTTTACGTTCGATACGACTTAATAGCTCTTTACATATACACTGGATACATTATTTTCGGGCTTTAATTATACTACTGGCACTTATAATAAATTTATTATTTTATTACTTAGCAGCACAAATATTTGGCTTTTTTGAATTATTGATAATTACATTATCTGTAAGATATAACAAATACGATGTCTGCTCTAGGAAATAATTGGCAATCTCAAAATTAACTTTTCTAAATTTGGTATTCTCCCCCCCCTAAGTTTATATGTTCTCCAATTCGATATCTTTCCAAATTGCATAACAACCTAAAATTAACCAATCACAACTTAGATATACTTATGCATCTGCTCGGCATAAATACTGCTTTCCAAAAAACTACGTCATTCCTTTTCTTAGCTTCCTGGCATTACGACTGCAAGCTACTAAAAGTACCAGTCCCTAACTAGTCACTCAAAATATCACACACACGCATATATATATATACATATGTGTGTGTGTGTAAGATAAAAAAGTATATAAATAAAAGTATAATTTAAACTAACGGTAACCCTTTAATTCTTCCTTTCTATTCTAGAAATTGTTTCAGCTTCCCTGGATTGCGTCATTTCTAGATCAATCCATTTTGCATGGCCTACGCAACGCTGATGACGTCTCTGAAAACTGAAACCTTTCTAACTTAAACTTTTCTCTTAACAGATTGCCATATTGGATAAATGCGCAGTTATCTTGCAGCTCTGTTGCCGTTTGGACGCTGT